TGGTTGGGAAGCGCTGAGCTCACACTGAAGGGTCTCGCTGCTGTCTGACACTGGAGACATCCATTTGATATTTCAGGCTGACCTCATAGTGTGTGAAGCAGTGATCTTCTCAGGTTCTTGACGGAGAAAGTTGCTGCTCCCTCTCCGTTCTGCAGCTCGCAGTGAATTCCGTTCGCTGAGAACATATGCCCTATTGAACTCTTCATACTGCTTTCTGATAGAGTTCAAGCTCACTCTGAAAGAGTCTCAGGCTGCTGTGGACAGTGACACCTCGCTTGATATTTAAGGCTGGACCCATTGTACAAGCGGTGATGTTCTCCCAGTTCTTTTTGGGAGAAAGTTGTTCTGCTCCATCACTACATCAAGCTCAGCTTTAAATTCTTTTCGCTGATGATGTGTGCCACTTGGAGCTCTTCATAATCGACTTGCAGGGCTTTTTCTTCTTCTCTTGGTGTATGTCTCACCTGAGTAGCATCTTTGTGATGCTGAAGAGTTTCTGTGTCGCTGTACTTTCGCAGCCTCTCTATATTTCTCCTTGTTTCTTTTTCCTTGTTGATATACATCTCTTCAGGGTTTTCTGTCTGGGAGGTTGTCTTCCTTGTCTCATCAACGCTTTGTAAGTTGGATTCTCCTGTTCTTCTCGGTGAAGCAGTTGACCTCTACTGCATCCACTTCTATTGAGTTGCTTAACTTGTGCACGAAGGCACGCACTCCTTAAGAGGTTCAGCGGGCCGCGGCCAGCGGCTTGCCTGTCCAGAGATCTCTGGTAGTCTTGAGTTTTTAATTTGCTGCATTTTCTTTGGCTGGTGGATCAGTCTCAAGTAATGCTCTTGCTTGAATTGCAGTTTGTCTGAACAGATGTGGTCTGTATCAGTGGTCGTGACTTGAAAGAAAAAAAAAAAAAAGAAGAAAAGTATTCTTGCCTTGTTTCTGTCACTTTGTCTCACAGTGGTGTCACTTGTTGAAAAGTTTCGAAAGATGTGTCTGAACGGTTGAAATGATCTGACTGTCTGAATCTTATAGACTACAGACCTGCTGATATCACAGAATGGAATTATTGCATTCTATTTTCCTTTGATTCGTACAGTTCCATTCTATTTTCCTTTGATTCGTACAGTTCCATTCTATTCCCTTTGATTCGAACAGTTCCATTTCTGTTTCTGTTTTTTTCTGCATGTTTACATTCAAATCTTTCAAATTATCTGCGATTCAAATGGAAACAAAATAACTGCCCACTGACAACATTCAAAACCGGTTTTAAAACCTGCCATTAATCCCAGTGATTGAAAGGTCTAACACAACAGCTTCACGAAGCTTGAATGCTTTCATTAATGATCGGTTGAGAACCACAAAATGCACTTTTTGTGTCTCAATACATTTATTATAAACATTTCCATTTTGTCAATTATCATCATTAACTCAACATTAATGACATCCATGCATCATTAATATTCCTATGTTAATTATTGCTATTATTATCATAATTATTATTTTATCAAATATATTAAGTATTAGATCCCAAACAAATAATACAAAACAAATGTGTCAAAACAAAAATCCCCCCTGAAACACCCATTAAAACTGCAGTAACCACATTTTGTCACCACCATTATTACATTTATTATGCATCTGTGCGACCGCTGTGCAGGCCCTGACGTAGGTTGATAGCGAGGTCCCACCCAATGCTGCTTGCTTTTTATTTTTCCTCGTAGGGTATACTAAACCGACCCGGGGAGTCACGCTCACTAGTCGTAGCAGCTAGCGAGTGAACATGTAGCATTTAGCTGCTAAAGGGCCAAATGAGGGTGGTGGTGGAGACCAAAACAGAGCTTAAAAGGAGACTAAATGAATGCTAATATTGCTCTGTAGCTGCTGTCGAAATAGGCTAATGTATGCTAACTTTATAAGGTGGTAATATCTCAGTAAAGTGGTAAAACAAAAGTCTTAATGCTGCTTTAAAGTGTGTGTACTTTGTTATTCCAGGTGGATAAGACTTGTAACAGCCCTGTTACATCCTCCTGTGAAAACAGCTTCAGAGTGAAATGCCCGCCGTCTCTTCCTCTGGTCAGTCTGGGGCCTGTTTGATGTTTTCTGGGTGTATTTTATTTATTTTTATTATTTCTATCCATTGTGATCTATAGAAAACACGTAGTTTCTTAATGTTATACAATGCTCCCTCTTGTATGTGTCAACATCCATTGTATATCTTTCCTGTATGTGCGCTTTTGCAGGACTTCTCCAGAGACTTCTCCGACCTCGACGGGGTTGTGCAACAAAGGCGGCAGGAGATGATGGAGAGCAGCAGCTCCGGCTCTCAAACGCCAGATTATGAGAAAATAACTGGTGTGTGCTCCATCCTCAACCCTCCATGCACACTTCTACCATTTACTGAGCTGCTGTACACTTAAGATTAATCTACTGTACACACCTTATATTCTCTACAATGTTAACAATGTCAGCTGCCACTGTGGCTCAGGCGATCTTTGGTTTGCAAATAGCTGGAGTTTAGCCAAGTGAAATTGGACCCATTGAGAGTTTGTTATTGTACAGACAGTTGGCATGAAACCAGCAATGATCCTGTTGAATAATGCAATACATTTTCAGCTTATTGTTTATATAACAGTGAGTTTGTGCTTCCATTAATAATATTTACTCTTAAGAGAGTCACACAAGGCTTGTTTTCTGTTTTATTTGCGCAGACTTCAGCGGCCTGCCGGACACGTTTCTGAGCGCAGTGAAGAGCGGAGAGGTTTCGGTCCACGCAGACATTCACCTCCAGACTCCGAGCCAAAAGCACGGAGCTGTTCCCCTCAAGAACGGTAGTTCTGATACCGGATCTCTGGGAGTAAAAAAGAAAGAAAGAAAGAAAAAAAAAAGCTTTGTTGATACGTCTGTAGTTTTGGGTTTCAGTGTTTTCCCAGAAGAGATTCAGTTGGAAATAATCGTTATAAAACAAATAAAGCGAGAGTAACTGATCTGTTAGTGCTGAAATACAGGACCATACTGAACATAACTACACAGTTTACAACAGACGTAACTATTTAAATACAGGAAATAAAAGACAAATCTGGATAATATTCAGTTAAATAATAAAATAGACTAGATTGACGTGATATTTGCTCATTTGTTT